AAAAGGCATGCAACTTAAGACTGCAGCAGCAACACATCCACTGTAGTGAAATGGCCAGTCTCAAGAACAAAATAGTTATTCTAATATTCTCCAAGCAGTAACTCCTCAAATGCTATAAGGTTTGTTGAGATCGTTGAACATATGCCCAATTTTTGAAAATTATATCCATCACACTATAATTATGTACTCCGAGGGATTTTTTTAAATTAAATTGTGGAATAAGAGATATTTTTCACAAGCCATATTTTAGTTAAATTGTCAGAGTTCATTACTTAGATGCTATCATACTAGCTTGCATGGGTGTCGGTACTCTTCGAAACCCAAAACACCTAAATGACTCATAAAATGATCCATTAATCAAAATCATATGCTTGCGATCTTATTAATATATCCTAAATTTGATCAAACCTTTCGCATAAATATTCCAAAGTTACTTTAAATCAATGATAGAAAAAAAACAGAAATATTTCATCAATATCTTAAATCATATTGAAAAACTTATTATGGCATGTGATCATTTGAATAACATTGTATGATATGAAAATGATCTAGATGAAACAAATCATATGATTTAAGTGATCGTTGAACAAAATATAACAAAATATAAAAACTTCAATGCTTATCTAAGTTTAATCATTTGCGATTAAGATTGTGATCTTCTACCCCTCTTAGTCTCCAATGGATGATACTTAAAAGGGTTGAATCATTTGTTATGGACGTATATACGAGATCAAGAAAGGTTTCTTGACCTGATCACTCTGACGCTCATGTTAGTAATCCAAGGTTCGGGTTCGAGTAGTTTAAAAAAAGATAGCTTTCCCCTATTCAAAATATGTTTTTATATAATAAAGAATTAGATATACCATTAAGACTACGAAATCGCTATCGGACAACAAGAAATTATCAACCATCCATTATTCTATAAGCGGATCAATCAGTGAACTCATTCTCCAAAGAGCACGTGTACTATATCTCTAGTGTCCCCACACGAGTAGCTATGAGATCAACTGCATCCATCATATAGATGGGTATACAACACACCAGTCTGTCTGGTTATCTCGATGTCCCTCTCGAGTAACTTATGACCGAGATTATTTATAATCTATGTTTAAATGCGAATCAGTCTCATTATCGTGATCGCATCATGATCCGATTCTTATTGCACGTATCCATAGATATCATAATATATTCAAGTAATATGTAATACAAAGTGATAAAATATCAAATAATAATAATAAACAAAAGGACTGCATGTCAAGTCACACGTGATATCACTCACGTGATTGACTTGCGAGGCACATATGACTAGCACCTCGGGTATGATCGCCAATAGCCTCTCCACTAATAACCAAAAAAGTCTAGAGGGCCTGAGCCCCATTATGAAGATTTGAATCACAAATGATAGATGAGCTTCTTGCACGCCTTAGATCTTGTTAGTGAACCGTGTGATAAAGTCAGATAGTACTCTTCCTTCCATTGCCTGAGTTTGAGAAACATTACAACTGATGGCCTCAAGCGTACATTCTTGAGGAAGTAGAGTTTGAATTCCTTTACGAGCTGAGCGAAGGAGTCGACCGAGAGCAGCTTTAGATAAATGTATTACTCCCTCACTAGGCCTCTTAGCATCCTTGGAAATGCGAGACATATTAGAGTGTCCAATGCGCCATAGAGAGATATCTGGGGGCGAAAGGTAGTTGTGTATTCAACCTGGTCGGTACTTCTGTTAAAGGCTTCTAACAATGGGAGGTAGAAGTTGGTTGAGATTAGTTTCTCTTTGATGTTTTGGGTGAATGGAGACCAACCCTAGGTGAGATTGATCGAATTCTCTCCCTTGGACTATTGGAACTCAGATTTAGACTATGGTGCGATGATGCATTGAACTCTACCATTGGGGAGCAGAGCGCTCTTTCGACTAGTAATTCTATAGAACTTGAGCAATCCTGAGATGTTGGCATTGCACCAATCAAGGGTATTCTGATGGGTGCCAATGTCGGTGGTAGTTGAGGTGTCGATTGTGGCTAAGATGGTAGCATTACTTATTGGGTTAGCTGAGATAGGAGTGGAGCGATAGCCTGCAATATACCCGTAAGGGTCTATACCTGATGGGTGAGGTTTAGGAACATACCGATGGTGACAAGCAAGTAGCTCGAGTTTGTCCATGGGGGTAAGAGACCTGGGTCATTGAACAAGCACTATTACCTCATCGATGTCTGTGTTGAAGTGGATGCATCCACATGTGGGAAGGATGACAATTGCGCTCCCCCCCCCCCCCCCCCCCCCCACCCCCCGAAGTAAAAGTGTTGTGGGTTGGAGGTAGGACCTCATCGTTGGAGTGTTCATTGAGAAGATTGATAGATGTATGTTCCTACGACATTAAACCCTCATTCGCCAAAATATTAGAAAAAAAATATCATTGATGTTTTAGTCAGCTTGACATAATTCGGACCTGTATACGCATGGTTGTCCGAGGTGCCACCTCCATGAAGATCAAAATCAAGAAAGTTTTTTCGACTCAATCCCTTTGACGCTCAAGTTGAGGTCCCCAAATTTAGATTTGAGTAATTTAAAAAAAGAGAGTTTTCTCATATTCAAAATATGTTTATTTATCTTAAAGGATGAGAAGGAACTTGGAATTACCTTCCTTATCATAAAGGAAGAGACGAAAATTTATGATTTCCTTCCTAATCATAAGAAGGAAGCTTATGTTTTCTTATTTTAAATTTTCATGTATGTAGACAAATAAATAGAGGATTATATATATATATATATATATATATATATATATATATATATATATATATATATATATATATAATATTGAGATCCATAAATAAAATAGGAGATATTAAATACAACTTTAGAATATAATAAGGCTCTACTCCTATGGAATTTGAAGAGATTGAGTTACTATTTCAATCCTCGCTACTAAACGGACAATATATAAAACCAATAAAAACAAGTTAATATTGAGAAAATAGAACATTTGAAAGTATTTTCAATACCTAAAACCAAGTGAAAATTCTTTTTTTATATTAAAGACATGATTTGCAATCCGTTTCAATTTTCGTACCCTAAACAACTTAAGATTAAAACCAATTGATAAATAAAAAACCTAAAAAATGAATATTAAAAATAATGATATTATGGGTGTTAAAATTGGTTGCAATTGAAGTCAAACCAAACCGAACTAATTTTTTTTTTAAATTTTGTTCGATTAAAGGCACGAGACCTATTTTAGATATACCTAATCGAACATAACTAGCTCAGTTCAATTAAAATAAAACATGTTTGAATCAAAACTATTTTAGATCTACCTAATAGAACATAACTAGTTCGATTCGATTAAAGATATGTTTGAATCTAAACTATTTTAAATATACCTAATCAAATAAGTGCAAAACAATAATACAATTCGATTAACTAGTTTATAATATATATATATATATATATATATATATATATATAATCATTTTAAAATTGAACCAGAATCTTAGTCCAATTGAATTGACCGATAAAATTTATACAATTGGGCTCACATCATTTATGAAATTATAGCATTAAAATTGAGACAACATTGCTACCAATTTAATTAAGTTAAAGGTTTAAAATAATAAACTTGATTGAGTTAATATTTTTAAAGTAAAATCAATCGAAACCATTTTAGGCCGAAGTGATTTTGAATATATTCAGTTCGATTTTTTGATTTGATTTTAACACCCTCTAGATAATATATTAAATAAAAAATATTTTTTTTTTCACCTAAAATATGAATTTATTTATAAATGAAATCCATCGTGTAAATCATAGTCATGCATGTCAGACGGATTGACAAATTATCCGTAGGCCTTTGATTCTCTTTGGATAAGGGCTTGACGTTGAAACCAAACCCTTTCTTTTCCAAATCCCTTCTTTCCCAAGTGATCGGGTGTGAATGATCTGAACGGGGATCGATACTATGTTGGCCGTGGCAACCCAAGGATGAAGAACAGGATATTGACATGACAGGAGAAGGACAAATACCTCTTGAAATGACAGGAGGAGGACAAATGCCTCGGACTTGACTTGGAAACCAGACCTCTCCTTTCCCAAATCCCTTCTTTGCCAAGTGATCGGGTATAGACAATCTGAATAGCGATCGAACTATGTTTGACATGGTAAACCAATAATTAAAATGGATGGGAACAGGATATTGACATGAGAGGAGGGCAAATGCTACTTTTGTTTCTTCATTTGCTGGATTAAGCTTGTCTTTTGCCGTTCGGTTGGTCTGATTCATACGACATGTTCATAGGAATTAAGTAAAGCTTCGCTATGAAATGATATAGGTTCATAGGGATGCAAATTGCTTCATCTTCTGTGAGTGTGAATGTGAAGCTTCCTTCTCCGAGAAGGACCAGAAGATAATAACTCCATCTGTGAGAGTGAATGTGAAGCTTCCTTCTCCACTAGTCTTCGACTGTCACGATAATAGGGATGTGAGCCGTTCTACAGTTGGATATGGTCATCAAACGTGCCCGAGACGTTGCAGTAATCAAAAGGGTGGGAGGCGACGTCAGCTCGAGAGAGTTGGCATCGGACTTCGCCCTATCTTCTTCCAATCACCGGTGACCCCTCGCAGGTTATGGGCCACAACAACGCTTATCTACTTCCCCTCATGCCTTACTTGCCCTGCCACTTCCGGCTATATATACGTGCCCTTAGCCCTCACACTTCTCGCATCCCCATCCCGTTCCATCCTTTGCTCCTTCGACGGAAGAAAGCAAGGAAGAGATGAGGATCTATTTTGGTCCTTCGATGTTTCTGCTTCTGTTTCTTGTCGTTCCGAACTTGGCTCAGTCGCAGATACTCTTCCAGGTAGAGATAAACAGATCCATTTGTTTCCTTTGTCCTTGATCGCGTTTACAGTAAGAGAAACGAATACGTTGCAGGGCTTCAACTGGGAGTCATGGAGGCAGCAAGGCGGCTGGTATAACTTCTTGAAAGACAAAGTCTCTGATATAGCCAACGCTGGAGTCACCCACGTCTGGCTGCCTCCGCCCTCGCACTCTGTCGGCGTTCAAGGTCGTTCCGTGATTCCTATTTGCCGTCGTAATCACTCTCACATGTTGACCGAGTCGGCCTTGGTCTAAACTATTCTGAGACTTCTTCTCTCAGGTTACATGCCGGGCCGGCTCTACGACTTGGGTGCTTCCAAGTATGGTAATCAGGATGAGTTGAAGGCGCTGATCGGTGCTTTCCACGACAAGGGAGTCAAATGCGTGGCCGACATCGTCATCAACCATCGTTGCGCAAACAAGCAAGACGGGAGAAGGCATATGGTGCATCTTC